GGCAGTCAATCCCACTATTCGTTGGTAAAAGAGTAGCCCAAGAGTTGGCGGTGGGTGGTGATGACTAGCTGCCTTCCCTCTCGTCTTACACTGCTAAATTAGGGACGGCTAGCGCAGATAGCCCTCGTGAAACTTTGCGCGAAATTCAAAACCAAACAAACCTATAATAGTTAAAACCAACCTATAACATCCATTAATAGTTAAAAACTACTGTATAACATCCCCTAATAGTTAAAAAATTACCCTATAACATCCCATAATAGTTTTGTAAAAATCACTCTATAACATCACATAACAGTTAAAACACTAATATTCCATGGCGGACACATTTCTCTCCTATGTAGTTTTTCGCATAAACAGATGCACACGCGCACGCACGTAGATAAGTAACAATTACCAGGTGCACACCGCGCGCGTGATTGTCTGTCTGTCTCTATGTGATTTTTATTTGTGATATAAGGAACCACTTTTTTCTATGTGGTTTTTCTATAACTTGCCTCAATAAAAGATGTGCACGCGCATGCGTGCACACACATGGATAAACTAAATTATACCCAGATGCACACCCTCAGTGTCCACTTAGTATGGGTCCAAAATTCAAGGTTTCTAGGTCCTTTCCTCTTGGATCTATGGCAGTCACACCTTTCTATGTGGTTTTTTGCTAGCTTGTCTCATTAAAAAGATGCGCAAGCGTTTGCGCACACGCACCTAGATAAATAATAATACCCAGGTGCACACCCTCAGGATCCATTTAGTATGTATGCAAATTTTCAGATTTCCAGGTTCTTTCATCTTGAAGCTATGGTGATCACATATTCTTTTCGATGTGGTTTTTGTCGCTTGCTTGCTTCATAAAAAGATGCGCACGAACGTGAATAAGTAATAATAACCAGGTGCAAACCCTCAAAGTCCACTTAGTATGGGTGCAAAATTTCAGGTTTCTAGGTTTTTCCTCTTGGAGTTCTGGCGGTCACACACACAAACACACACAGACACCCTTTTTTGTTATAAATTAGTCACATGTAGTAGAATTTAGCCTACTTTTTAATGTATTTTGTAATATGAGGAGATATTAACATATTAGTCATATATAGCATTTACATTTTAATAGTAGTTGTAATATAAATAAATATTAACACAGCACTTGCATATAAAATAGTTTACAGTAATTGCTGACGTTTCTTTGTCAAATGAAAAGCAACATTAACACTTCAGCTCCATGTAATACAGTTTACCCTGACAGAAATGTTTATTTTGAAAGATAACAAAATACAAACGTGTTAGTTTAATGAAGCATAATTTCGTGTTCTGTAATTTCCTTTGTTCGTGTTTTGCTTGATTGTAGTTAAGCACAAAGCTACACAAAGGGCTATCTGTGCTCTGCCCACCAAGGGTATTGAAACCCAGTTTCTAGCGTTGTAAGTCCATAGACTAGCCGCTGTGCAACTAGGGGTGGGAGGGGGTGCCGTTTCATTATAAGATGAACAGAAACGCTATAATTTCATGTACCAAAGTTTCTACTAACTGTTAATGTTTCTCTGTAGCATAACAAAATATTAACGTGTTAGATTAAGCACCACAGTTTCTACTAACTGTTAATGTTTCTTTGTAAAATAACAAAATATTAACGTGTTAGATTAATGTACCACAGTTTCTACTAACTGTTAATGTTATTTTTTGTTAGATTTATGTTCCATAGTTTCTACTAACTGTTAATGTTTCTCTGTAACATAACAAAATATTAACGTGTTAGATTTATGTACCATAGTTTCTACTAACTGTTAATGTTTCTCTGTAACATAACAAAATATTAACGTGTTACATTTAGTACCACAGTTTCTACTAACTGTTAATGTTTCTTTGTAAAATAACAAAATATTAACGTGTTAGATTAATGTTACCACAGTTTCTACTAACTGTTAATGTTTCTTTGTAAAATAACAAAATATTAACGTGTTAGATTAATGTACCACAGTTTCTACTAACTGTTAATGTTTCTCTGTAACATAACAAAATATTAACGTGTTTGATTTATGTACCATAGTTTCTACCAACTGTTAATGTTTCTTTGTAAAATAACAAAATATTAACGTGTTAGATTTATGTACCATAGTTTCTACTAACTGTTAATGTTATTTTGTAACATAACAAAATATTAACGTGTTAGATTTATGTACCATAGTTTCTACTAACTGTTAATGTTTCTCTGTAACATAACAAAATATTAATCTGTTACATTAAGTACCACAGTTTCTACTAACTGTTAATGTTATTTTGTAACATAATAAAATATTAACGTGTTAGATTTATGTACCATAGTTTCTACCAACTGTTAATGTTTCTTTGTAAAATAACAAAATATTAACGTGTTAGATTATTGTACCACAGTTTCTACTAACTGTTAATTTTTCTTTGTAAAATAACAAAATATTAACGTGTTAGATTATTGTACCACAGTTTCTGCTAACTGTTAATGTTTCTTTGTAAAATAACAAAATATTAACGTGTTAGATTTATGTACCATAGTTTCTACTAACTGTTAATTTTTCTTTGTAAAATAACAAATACTAATGTGTTAGATTAATGTGTCACAGTTTCTTCTAACTGTTAATGTTTCTTTGTAAAATAACAAAATATTAACGTGTTAGATTATTGTACCATAGTTTCCACTAAGGTTGAGGTGTAGATTATTTTAGCATGGGAACAATGGCTTTTGATACAGAAGACATTATTGGATGTGTTAACATTGTTTAACATGAGTTGTTTCCCATTTCACATGTAAGATTCAAACCTTGGAAAGGTTAACAACACACAGGAAGAGACGTAACATTATTGATATTGACCACTTCCTAAGAACATTGTCAATCTCTAACAGCAAGTAATACAATAAAAGTGGTGATTTTTTAAATTAAAGACCAGTAATGTTCTAGACACGTAATGTAACCTAAAACCAAAGCTCGTTTAATACGTTATAAAGGGCTAAAGATGGCTACAAGAGATGATCTATTATGTGTGAAGGGAAAGCCTGAAAATGGCCGAAAGCAGCTGGAAAAGAGAAATTTAAAAACCTGCTCAGTTGATATTGATCTTAAACCTTTAGCCTATTGACGGAACCGACAGAAGAGTGAAAAGCTTCTTGAATGATTTTGGAAATCGGTTAACTATTTTGTATGATTAATTAAACTACTGTGTAAATTGAAAACTGTTATATTAAATATATTAGTTAAAAAGTGGAAAAGCTTCCATTGTTGTGTATTGTTGAGAGACAATGGGATACTAACAATCACTAATGATAAAAAGATTTTGAAATAATTATTAATTCTAAAACTGTGGAAGAACAAAACTAGGTATAATCTAAACTAGGTTAATTTAATGCAAAGTGTAAGAGAAATATTGTATATACAAGATTGCTGGATTATAAGCCTCTATGGAATACCAGTCTAGATTACATTAATTCTAAAGTAAGAATAAATTAGGTTATGTATACAAAATGAGCCTCGTTAGACCACTGCTAGTTCGAACGTAATAAAACCTAGACCACGTTAAGTACAACAGAAACTGAAATGTTTTAAATATTTTTCAGCATACTGAGAATTTTATACTTTTAAACTCTAAAAAATAAGTAATAAATAACCTAAGTTAGTTTAATAATACATTATTAGAGCTGTAAAATTATACTATGGACATTTTAAACGTTAAAACTCTACCGATAAATAAAAACACATTATATAAACTGGATAACGCAATAGAGAAGTTATAATATTATTGTGAACTTCTCACAATACATAACAATTAGATATAGTCTTCCTTAAATAGATCTTAACATTGCCGAAAGTTTAAAAATAACAAAATAAAAAACTGTGAATGCATATTTTATTGGTTTATGTTATAGCTAAATATATTTACCCACTACGGCTTGAGGTCTTGTCTTCTTAGGGCAAAATCTTACAGCTTCGATACCGTTATTACTTATTAATTAACTGTCAACAAAATATTGCTAGTATCCAACCGTATCAAGCTGTATGTTATAGCTAGTAGAATTGATCTACAATATTGGTGTTTTTACACTGACTACCTTACCTGTTTCAAACGTGTACAGTGTCCAACCGTATCAAGCTATATGTTATAGCTGGTAGAACTGATTTACAATATTGGTGTTTTTACACTGACTACCTTACCTGTTACCTGTTTCAAACGTGTACAGTGTCCAACCTTATCAAGCTGTATGTTATAGCTAGTAGAATTGACTTACAATATTGGTGTTTTTACACTGACTACCTTAACTGTTACCTGTTTCAAACGTGTACAGTGTCCAACCTTATCAAGCTGTATGTTATACCTGGTAGAACTGATTTACAATATTGGTGTTTTTACACTGACTACCTTACCTGTTACCTGTTTCAAACGTGTACAGTGTCCAACCGTATCAAGCTGTATGTTATAGCTAGTAGAATTGATTTACAATATTGGTGTTTTTACACTGACTACCTTACCTGTTACCTGTTTCAAACGTGTACAGTGTCCAACCTTATCAAGCTGTATGTTATAGCTAGTAGAACTGATCTATAATATTGGCGTTTTAACACTGACTACCTTACCTGTTTCAAACGTGTACAGTGTCCAACCATATCAAGCTGTATGTTATAGCTAGTAGAATTGATTTATAATATTGGTGTTTTTACACTGACTACCTTACCTGTTACCTGTTTCAAACGTGTTAGTGGTCTTGAATGTTTCAGAATCCCACAATGTGGTTCCTGCCAAAATCATTCACAGGGAGACGCACGTGCGGACACCTAGAGGCAGAAAGGTTCTTCTGCCGTGCGTGGCCCAGGGTTACCCTATACCTTCTTGTAGCTGGTTGAGGAACCAAAATGGACGACAAAAATATATTGATGGAGATCCTCATCTTCAGGTTTTGGGATGTAGCCTTATGGTGAGAGAACCTGGTGTACGATACAGTGGAAAATACACTTGTTTCGCTAATAATACTGTTGGAACAGACAAGGCCGAGACAGAATTATTAGTGTACGGTAAGTCAGGTGAAAGGCACTGTGAAAATACAACTGTAAACCGTTAATTTAACACATCTCGAGAAAACAACTGTAAACTGTTCATTTAACTTGTCTTGAGGAAACAACTGTAAATCGTTAATTTAACACATCTCGAGAAAACAACTGTAAACCGTTAATTTAACTTGTCTTGAGGGAACAACTGTAAACCGTTAATTTAGCACATCTCGAGGAAACAACTGTAAACCGTTAATTTAACACAACTCGAGAAAACAACTGTAAATTTTTATTACTTTATGTTATGTGTCATCGTATGAGTTACTTCGATAATGAACCAAGTGTGTTTATAAATATTGGTTTTTCTATTCTGTCACTAATGAGCCTTTAACCCTACCGCATGAACTTTAAATACTGTTGTACATTTGAAGTGTTTTTATATATATTTCTTATTAATGGGCGCTGAACACTGTAGTTGTGACGTCACATACTAATAATGAATTTCTGGCATACTTCGCTTGGTTTAGCAAAGTTTTGTAAATTTTACACACGTTAGAATAAGTTGGCATATTGTATATTAAATCTTCTGAGCCTATCTAATCTAAGGAAAACATCAACAATGGTCCACGAATAAACTGACAGCGTTCTATAATTTATTTTAAGCTTCATTTTATAAACACTGGCATTACCTTATGACATGAAAAAGTTACAACCTTAAAACAATGTCTTTTTTTCTACAGAACATCTTAGTGCAGAAGTCTTCCCAGCTGTACAAAAGGTGACCACTGGTCAATCTGTTATCTTTAACTGTTCAATATCGGGTTATCCTGTTCAGATGATTACATGGATGAAGGATATGAGACCCATCGTTTCTCAAGGTAGATTCAATATTCTCTACAGTAACATCCTTTCCATTAGTTCAGTTAGGAAACAAGACACGGGAATATACCAATGCTTTGTTGAGAACAGTTTTGATTCTGCTCAGGCGTTAGGAACTCTCGTACTCGCAGGTGAGTGTTTCTATCCAGTTTTATAGCTAACTTCAATAATTTTACTTCCTCTATTAAAGTGGTAGGCAGACTTTGTAGAACATTGTAAATGGTACCATATTTCAAATCCTAATTTTAGGCCCCAAAAAAATCAATATCGCACACAGAGTTACCTTTAATTTCATTACACGAACAAGCCATCCTTCAAACCACAATAACAGATATATCTCGTGTTGGAGAATATCAGGTATATCTCGTGTTGGAGAATATAAAAGTGCGCGTTAAAATGGTATTTTCTCTTTACGTCTGAAATATTTTTCAACCTCATTCTTCGTCCTTTTGTGCTGTTGGTGATATTACAGTATCTTAGAAGCTTGCTATACATTCTCAACCCTATGTGTTATAGACTGTATGCCATCAAGACAGTTAATGACTTCATGAATTCACTCTAAATTCCTTCAAAACACCATCATTACCCTCGTTTAAAAACTCAAGTTTGTTTCAAGAATGGAGCGTGTGCCCTACAGTTTCTCGGTGTACAATTTGTATTACTACTGTTACGTCTCCGTTTGTTAATTAACTTTCCGTAACTTCGTTCCGACGAAACTTTAACGACACAAGTCTTTACTTAATAAAACTGGTTTATTCTTTCCGAATATAACTCTGCGATACACTTAATCTCAATACTCGCGCTAAAACAACACTGTAACGAACGAACGTTAACTTCAACAATACCGTGTGACTGCAGTTCAATTACTCACTATCTACACACACATTACATTACCCTCTTTTATATACCAGCGTACCCTATTTCTAGTAAGAACTTGAACATTCGACAAAGTACATGATAGTTCTAGAAACGTTGCGTCACGGTGGTCATGTGACTCGCTGACGCAACACTACTTATCTACTACTCAGTACTAGACATATCGTTGTTATTGAACCTAAGATTCTCGCC